ACATGTGCATCGACTACCGAGCTCTCAACAAGCAGACCATCAAGAACAAGTACCCGATTCCACGAATCGATGATCTGCTCGACCAGCACGTACGTGGAAAACACCCAAGAACGTGAAGGAGTTACAACAATTCCTTGGCTTCGCTAACTACTACAACAGGTTCGTGCCATAACACACGAAAATCGCCACGCCACTCACGAATCTGCTGAAGAAGAACACGCCCTATAAATGGGAGCCACAACACCAGGAAGCCGTGGAGCAGCTGAAGCAAGCACTCACGTCCACACCCGTCTCATCTTGCCAGACCCGAACGCGACTACGTTATCGAAGCTGACGCCTGCGACGAGGCAGTGGGAGCAGTCTTGATGCAAGACCAGGGGAATGGACTGCAACCAATCGCCTACCTCAGCAAAAAATACACAAGGCAGAACTCAACTACCCGATAACAGACAAGGAGGCCCTTGCTATCATCATCGCCTTCAAAACGTGGAGATGTTATCTCGAAGGACGCAAAACAACAGTCTACACCGACCATTGCAGCCTAAAATATTTGAAGACGCAACCAAGCCTCTTTAGGCGACAGGTTCGGTGGATCGACTTCCTCGAGACACACTTCCACTACGACATCGTGTACAAGCCTGGCCATAAAAACAAAGCAGACGCGCTTAGCCGGCCTGCACACGTTGCCGCTATCCAAGTTGAAGGGATGAATCCACTCCTCAAGGGACTCTTCACACACGGGTACGCCATCGACCCCGAAATTCCCTTGGCAGAAAAGCGACATCTGCTACAGTGGGACAACGACATCGCGTACCGGAAAGGATCAATGAAGATCTGGGTACCAATTACCCTCCATTGTGCCAGTTACTACTCGAAGAATACCACGACGTCCTGTACGCAGGACACTTCGGTAGCAACAAGACGCTCACCGGTATCGCCAAACACTACTACTGGCCCCAAAGGCAATGACGTACAGAAATTCATCACCTCGTGCACTACATGTCAGCGGATGAAGAGCAGCAAGCAGAAAAAGGCGGGACTGCTACAGCCTCTTCCTGTCCCAGAACAGCCATGGCAAGTGGTCAGCCTAGACTTCATCACCGGGCTACCAACTACCACAAGCGGTCATGATGCGATCCTCGTCGTCATCAACAATTTTCCAAAATGGGACACATCCCACACACACGACACCACGCACCGAGGAGACAGCACAACTCTTTGTTCGCTACATCATCTCACAACATGGCATTCCAACCACACTCATCTCCGAGAGACCCTAAGTTCCCAGTAAATTTGGAAGAACTGATGTCTCTACTCGGAACCAAACTCGCCATGTCATCCGCATACCATCCGCAGACAGACGGCAGACCGAGCGTCAACCAAATTGTGGAGCAACTCCTCCGCGCAGCCTGCAAGGACGAAATCTCCAAATGGGACTTGCATCTGCCCGTCTGGAGTTTGCCTACAACAATGCTACTCACGCCGCTACTGGACAGACGCCGTTCTTCCTCTGCTACGCGCCACCCACTCACACCTCAACAGCCAAACATATCAGCCACAATCCAACCCGCACACGATTTCATCACGACCATGCACAAACTTTGGGATCGGACCCACAAACGCCTTCTCAACATTCAGCAACAACAGAAGCGCCAGGCCGATCGCCACCATACAGACCACACCATCACCATGGGAGATCGAGTACTACTCGATACGCGCAATCTTGATATTAGCCATCTCCCATCCAAACTGCGGCCTCGCTTCTGCGGGCCTTTTCTCATTGAAGCACAGGTGACTCTTGTTACTTTCTGCATACGCCTGCCAACTACCTGGAAGATTCACAACACCTTCCATGTCCAACTCTTGAAGTCCTACCGAGATCCCAACACGGTCTTCTCTCGACGCCAACCTCCGCCGCCGCCACCAGGGTTTGAAAAGAAGTCCACCCCCTCTCGTTGACTGAAGCCTCTAGCGTAGTAGCGCGCCTTGAACACATGCGGCTCTCCAGGGGGGCGCTTCAACTAGAAGAGCCACCGGCCATCGACTACGTTCACCCCAGGTGGAGGAACTGCGTCGACGTAGGTGCCGGTAGATCTCCAAGATGCCATTTTCTGCTCCATGGTAGCTATCCACTGAGAGGCCCAGGGTCCTGAGGTTGCCTCAGCGTAGGTGCAAGGGGTCGGATGTCAAAGGCATCGGGGTCACCCCAGCGACTAGCAGCATGGAACAGAGATGGAGAGCAGCCTCGGACAGGAAAGCAAGCTCGAACTGCCTGTCCTCTAGGACGTCATTGCCAAGGGCAGGACCACCCCCGACGGACAGAGAATGGGCAGGGTCAGAGACCAGAGCAGTGGCGTAGTCAAGGCGCGGGTAGAGGCGAAGTCAGCGACAGCAGCAACAAGAGCGTCCAGACTGGAGATGGGAACAGACGGTCGGTAACAAGGGAGGCAAGGACCCGAGGGACAAGAGGACGAGCAGCACGAAGGTAGTCAGACAGAGGGGAGACGCGACAGCGAGGACGACGGAGGAGGTGAAGGCAGGAGGGGAGGACGAGACACGTGGGAACGAAGCAATTTGGAGTGCGAGTGCTGAACAAGAGAGCAGGACGAGCACGATAGGGACGACGGGACCAGACGTGAGACGGAGGTGTAACAAGAGGGAACGAGGTGGGAAACGTGCCGGAGACTAGTCCGGCGGAGGAAGCAGAGACCGAGGACAAGAAGGGGAGGAGGCGGCGAGGGAGGCGCGGGCGAGCGGTCGGGGGAGGGAAGGCCGAGCAGGCGAAGGGCGGACACTGGCGGCGACTGCGGCTGCTGCTCAATGCCGACACATGGACCACCAGCGGCACCACGGTCACCTCCGAAACACTCCACTCCAGCACCCCCATAACAAGCACCCCCAGAGCGAGAACCCTCTCCAACACCGATGCCACCCCGAGCCCGCCGGGACAAGCCACGATAGGAACCCTAGATTAGCACCCTCCAATGCCAGCACCCCCAGAGTCCACGAGCGGCTGCGGTTGCTGCGACGGCGGAGGCGGCGGCGACGGGGGAGGAGGAGACACCGGGGGAAGGACAGGTGGCGCAAACCGCACCGCGGGGCTACCAGAGTCAGCCGACTCCTTGACCGGGGCAACCGACGAGAGGGGAGTGACGTGAGACAGACCAGAGGGAGCAGGATGGGGAGGGAGGGGAGTAGGGCGACCGGGGGAGTGGGAACCAGAAACAGGGGGGGAAACCGGGAGACCTCGGTGGGAAAGCAGTGTAAAAGGAGACAGACTCGTCGAAAGTGACGTCACGTAGTGAAAAAAACGGTGAGACGGCGGGTGTAAAAGTGCCAGTCGGACGAGTCAAGGAGGAAACCGAGGAAGACCCAGGGGACAATGCGGGCAGTGAGCTTGTCCGCGTCAGAGGCACGAACGTGAGCGAGGCAGCCCTAGACGTGGAACGCATACGCGTCACCAGTGAACCCGGTCCAAAGAAGGTCGGCGAAACCTGCAGCCGCTAGGAGCGCGGCCAGAGGTTAAGCTGGTGAGCGGCGTAGCGAACGGCAAACTCGCCACCACGGTCTGGGTGAAGACAGAGCAGGGTGGGGAGTCCGGCAGGGTGTACGTCTGGGTGATGCCCTCCGCACAACAGAGCTGACCCAGACGACCTGAGGCAAACTCGCCACCACGGTCGGAGTAAAGACAGAGCACATTAAGACCTCGGTGGAGGCGCGTTGGCCTTCCGCTCCAGGGGAAACACTGTGGTGTAGCGCGTGAAGTCGTCGATGAGCACGAGAAAGTGGCGCTCACGACGCGGTCCAAGGACGGGTGTTGGGCCCTAGACGTCCAAGTGGAGGGTCTGGAGTGGTGCAGTGGCAGGACGAAGTGAGGAGGAGTGAGTAGCACGCGCGCAGCGGCCCTCGACGCAGGGCGTGCACGGCGCAAAGGCGAGGGAGGGAGGCAGGTAGTGACGCAGGGAGGCCTAGGACGAGACCGTGATGAGACATATGACGCAGACGCGGAGCGCGGGGTGACCTAGGCGGTGGTGCCACAGGAGCGACGGGTAAGTGAGCGACTGGCAACAAGCAAGCCGCAGCATCCTAAGTAGACGCAGGATGCAAGGAGGACGCACCCACCGGAGGGGAAGCAGTGTCCAGCGTAAACAAGCTAGACACAGGTCCCGGGGGAACGTCGCAAGGGGCACCTGAGGCAGTCTCGGTACAAACCGCGTACCGCTCGTGGCTAGGGAACGTAGTGGTGACGCCGAGGTCCTGAGACAGCCGACACCAACTAAGTTCCTGGAGAACGAAGGGATGTGCAGGCCTGTAAGGGAACCCGAGGGAACCGACGGACATGGAAGGGTGGTAGAACTCCGAGCAACTACAGGCTCAGATGAAGGGTCAGCAAGGGAAACAGCGGCAGGCGCAGCAAGTGGCGTGAGGGTGGCGTGGTCGCGGAAGAAGTAGGATGAGGCACCGGAGTCAAGAGTGAAGGACATTGAAGCCACAGTGGCCGACGAAGGAGGAGCAAGCGTAGAACCTAGGCTAGACAAAGTTAGCGGTCCTACGCTGACGCAGCAGGGGAGGCTGGACTACACATAGGTGCTACGCCTAAGCTAGAGAACACAGGGTAATAATATCCGGAAACACTCAAAGCGTCAGCATACAGAGAATGCAAAGCAGAACTAATCTGATCCATGTCTAGGTCAAACACAGGCACACCATGGCGCAGCAGACTGGGCCAGTCAGGGAGGTCCGGGGCTGACCAAAGCGGCGACGGAAGAGGTCGTCGAGGCGGCGGAAACAGCGGGTGGTCGGTGTGGGCGCCGGCACACCGTGCCACGGAGGGGCCCGGTATGCAGCTGGTGTTGGCAGCTCCCAGAGCTGAAACCGCCAGTGGACACCAAGCTGCGAGGGCCACCACCACGACCACTACCTCCAGGGCTCCTGGCCACCCCGGCAGGAGGCGAGCCCACGGCTACTGCTGCTGCTGCTGCTGCTGCTGCGGCTGTGACGACTGCTGCTGCTGTGGCTGCTGCTGCGGCTGCTGCAGCTACTGCTGCAGCTGCTACTGCTGCGTCTGCGACGACTGCTGCTGCTCCTGGCCACCAGCTCCAACCCCCTCGTCAGAGCCACTGTCCCCGCCACCACTACCACCACCAGCGCCACCACTTCGTCCTCCCTTGGGGCCACGACGGCCTCGGCGCTGGCGCTGCTGCGGGTAAGCCGCAGCTGCTATCTCCGCGGCAGGGGCAGTCGTGGCAACCGCAGTTGAGACGTCAGCGTACGTGCACTGGGATGGAGCGCAACGCTGAAAGATAGGACTGCTGCAACACCCCTCGACTGAGCGATAGTGCACTGGTGAGTCTCTTTCTCAGACAGCGTAGTGACAAAGGCGTCAGGGTGAGGTCGGCAGGGTGCTGACTAAGGAAGTGGTCGTAGGCAATGGCTAAGTGGTCAGGCAGCGCATGGCAATGAGTACAGGGTAGCACAGAACGGTGGGGGGAAGGTAGTAACTGTGCGCAGTGCTAGCAGCTTGATAGCTAGTCTCTAGCACACGGAGGTGAGTAGCGAGGTCAGCTACAGTGGGAAATGCGGAAAGATCAGGGAAGAGCATGGGTAGGATCAAGCGCTAGCACAGGTGGAAGCAGGGGTGGAGTAACGCTCAACTACAACAGTGAGGAAGTCCTTGCATTCTTGACAGTAGTTAAATGCGGACGCTCAGACAGGGAAGGGCATGACTAATGGCAAGCTGCGCTACAGCGTCGCGAGAATCCCAGACAGCGCGAGCGAGCGCAGCAGCAGCAAAGGCCTCGCTCTCAGCGGTAGTGGGGTCAGCAGGGAGGGGAGCAGGCACGGGGGGGGGGGTGGGGAGCAAGCCATCACCATGCATAGCCAGGGAGTACCATCCTGGCGTTGACCTGTTAGGTGCCGTCGGAGATCGACGAGCCAGGCAGTGAAGTCGATCGCTTGCCCCTTAGCGTCCAAGCGAAGAACGGCGTCCGCCATCACACAGTGTGATACGGCAGCTCAGTGGCTCGACGGCTCAGCAGCGCGGCAGCTCAGTGGCTCGGCGGCACGGCGGCTCTGCAACCCGGCGGCTCGGCGGCTCGGCGGCACGGCGGCTCTGCAACCCGGCGGCTCGGCGGCACGGCGGCTCTGCAACTCGCGGCACGGCGGCTCAGGGTTACGATGGCGCATCGGCTAAGCTGCACAGTGGGGCGGCGACTCGACGGCTCAGCGGCTCGTCGGAAGGTGCGAGGGCCAGTGGGGGCGCAACGGACCGGTAGGGACCGGGGGGGCCAGGAGGGGCGCGAGAGGCCAACGACAGCGCGAGGGCCCACGAGGGCGCAAGGGGGGGCTGGCTGGGGTGCGCGGGTCGCTAGGGCGCACGGGGCCCGCTAGGGCACGAGGGGCCGGTAGGGCGCGAGGGGCCGGTAGGGGCGCAAGGGGCCGGTAGGGCGCAAGGGCCGGTAGGGGCGCAAGGGGCCGGTAGGGGCGCGAGGGCCGGTAGGGCGCGAGGGGCCGACGACAGCACAAGGGGCCCGCTAGGGCGCGAGGAGCCCGCTAGGGTGCTAAGGGCCTGCTAGGGCGCGAGGGCCTGCTAGGCGCGAAGGGCCCGCTAGGGCGCGAGGGGCCGCTAGGGCGCGAGGGGACCGCTAGGGCGCGAAGGGGCCCGCTAGGGCGCGGAGGTAGCTACACTGGCGGAAAGTATTGCCGGAAACATTTCGCATACCAGTCTGGTGCCTTTTTGTTTAGTTACAAATCAAATTTTGGCATTGGCTGTGAAGTAGTACTGTAGTGTATGTGAGTACAGATGACCACCTGGTGGACCTCTAAGAGACTGCACCAGCACAAGACTAAACAATAGCCTGAGACGACCTGAGCATCTCCACGTTGTGAGCCCACGTGTGTCCAGTGAGCACCACTGGTCCTGTCCTCCTAGCACAAGCCCCAGTCCTGATGTACTCGCTAGATACCGCAGTACCTCTTGGCACCCGACCAGTGGACT